CTTGCTGCCTTTAGGTTCTTGCTCAGCCTCAGGGAGTGGGGAACTTTTTACTCTTGGAGTAATTAAGCTTCACAGCACCTCTTAGCCCAGGAAGGCTTTCTGGTTTGGAGAGGAAGATGTTAAAGGCAAATAATGAAAAATTAGGAAACTGTTCCTATTTCTCCCCACACCCCTAATTCTCAGAATTACAGTTCAGGACAGAAATCCTTTGTCTTCTTACTGCCTTTGTACATGGTAGCATCATTAGCACATCATCAAATGCACTAACACAACCTCTTCTGTCTCTGCACAGGACTGTTGGGACCTCAAGGACCAAGAGGACTTCCAGGAGAAACTGGAATCCCGGGTCCCCCGGGTCCTCCAGGGCCACCAGCCACCCCAAGCCTCCCTCTTACCTTCCAACAAGGGGTTCTCTACTCACTCCAGCCCACAGCAGAAAAAGAAAGTAAGTTTCCTCTGTTCCTGGTTGTTTTTTTCTGATACATCAGCAGAATGGGCAGGCATGGAGCAGCTCAGCTCCCACCTCCCTGCCAGGGCCCTGCCCTCCCTGGGAGCAGGTAGGAGAACTGCCCCCAGTGTGTGGGTCTCTTGGAAATTCCCATTCAAGATGAAACATAACTTGGAAGCTAGAGGGCTTCACCTTTCCAACGTGAGGAACTAAGTCACTGCTCTTACAAAACCATAATTGAGAACAGGGTTTGGGGGATTTATGGTTGTTCCCTGTGCCTGGCTTTCTGGGTTCATCACAGCTTTGAGGAGGCAACTCAGTGTCCTTTAAGCTTCCATTATGAGTAACTGCTGTGAGGTGAATGATAGAGCTCAGGTAGCATCAAATGAAAGACAAGTGGGTAAGGAATGAAGCTGTCTGGCTGATCAGGTGCTGGTGCAATGGAACTGTTGAGAGACCTCTTGGTGCCATTGTTGTGGTGTTACAGTGCTCAGGGTTGCTCAGAAATTAGTAAGTACCAAAGGTTTGCGACTCTGAAATGATGGAACATAACAAAGACACCTGTGAAATGTGTCCCTTTCCTGCCCCTGCAGATGTGTCTTCCAGCTGCGTTCCTGGTGCATCAGCATTATCCCACGTCCACACAAAACACAGAATTATGGACTCAAAAGCCCAGACCAAGACTGGGATTTAATCCTTCCCTATACCTGGAGGGTCAGGTTTTTTTGAGCCTATTATGATTTAAAAATATATTCACTAGATTTGTGCTGCTCATGGCAAGCAGAGGCTTCCTAGGAAAGGCACATGGTGCACTCTTATCTGAGTGCTCTCAGATTTGGACTTGACTCTTCTGGTCTAGTCTTGGATACCTGCATCTAACAATGACAAAGCAGAGCTCAGCTGTCTCTCCACTTGGCTTTTAAAGTCCTAAAGCCCCAGCTCTGCCAGGTCTCCCATCCCCACTACCCCAGACTTCAGCTGTGCCTCTTCCCCAGCTCTTCTGCTCACATCCATCTTCAAAGCTCCGTTTTATTAGTTACAGCCAAGGATTAGTAAGTCTCCCTGTGTCTGACAGTTTTTCTAGCTCTCCTTTTCCTTCCACCCACTCTGCTCTCCAGACTTCTTTTCCCAAAAGTGAACAGATGTATTTTTAATTTTAACAACTTGATTTCATAGTCAGTTACTAAGAGTGTATGGACAGGGTGAGATTAATTGTGGTTCAAGACTAAGATCTTCACAAAATGTAGATTGAACTGCTGCATTCATGAGCCTTACAATGAGAAAGTTTTGCACTGCAGTCAGCCCTCTGCCTTAAAGGATCACACCAAATGGTGCCATTCTGCATTTAGCCTTTTATTCCAAAGGATCCATAAGGATCTGCTGCTGCCCCCTCTCCCTCCAACCACCCTTTAACTTAATCTCTTGCAAAGTAGTGGATAAATTGAAAAAAGTGTATAAAGACACTGATTGCATGGTCTTCCCAGCTGATGTCTGAGAAGGGTGAACTCTGTATTGTTCCAAAATGGGAAGCAGGTAAATGAGTGGATAAATACCTGTATTGACCCTGCCAAAACTGAGCTGCAACAGGCTTGAGCACTGTGAGTAAATAGTGACTCTACCACCCTTGGGGCAGTCCTGTACTTCTCCCTCTTACCTGTGATGGATTTCTTGGCTTTCAGGAGTAGCCCAAAACTTCATGACAATTTTTCTCATTTTAAATTTTTCTTAACTTCTACTTGCAGTGAGATTTGTACTCCCTCTTACCTGTGATGGATTTCTTGGCTTGCAGGAGTAGCCCAAAACTTCAGGACAATTTTTCTCATTTTAAATTTTTCTTAATACAAATCTCACTGCAAGTAGAAGTTAACTTAATCTCTTGCAAAGTAGTGGATAAATTGAAAAAAGTGTATAAAGACACTGATTGCATGGTCTTCCCAGCTGATGTCTGAGAAGGGTGAACTCTGTATTGTTCCAAAATGGGAAGCAGGTAAATGAGTGGATAAATACCTGTATTGACCCTGCCAAAACTGAGCTGCAACAGGCTTGAGCACTGTGAGTAAATAGTGACTCTACCACCCTTGGGGCAGTCCTGTACTTCTCCCTCTTACCTGTGATGGATTTCTTGGCTTTCAGGAGTAGCCCAAAACTTCATGACAATTTTTCTCATTTTAAATTTTTCTTAACTTCTACTTGCAGTGAGATTTGTATTATCTGTGTGGTCATGATAAAGTTATGGCAATACCAATATTATTTTCTTACAAAACTTACTGTTTTTCTTATATGTTGGCTGATTTTGCCTACCACAGGTTGGTGGGAAGCTGATGCTCTACAACCAGTAAAACTTAGCCTTGTAAATGCTGGATAGATTTTATTATTTTTTTTTTGTATTTACTTTAAATGGAGCACATCTGAAAACTATAAACACAAGATTCCAGCTGCTGACAGCAGAGGGAAGCATATTCCTGGTAATGGGCATGTGCACCCAGGGAGATGTGAGAAAGTTGTATCAGATGATTAGCAGGAGAACAGCCTTTGGTTCCGCCTGAACATGGTTAGTGCCTGTGCCTTTATTAATCACAACGAGTTCCTGTTGGCAATGTTTATCAGCAGGCAGAAGCCAAAAATGGGGAGACAAATATTTTCTCACAGTTTCACTCTGCTGTGGTAAAGAAATTGGTCCCAGTTGTCTCCGTCCAGATCAGGTAGCAGAAAGAAATTAAGACAGGATTACTTCATTTCCATTCTGTCTCAACAAATCAAGCCTATAATGGGGGAATTTATCCCTCAGTCAGAAACATTAGCTGTAGGCCAGAAGCTAAGCTGCCATACCCACTGCTGGGGCTGCTGCTACAAGGATCACTTGCTTTCTCTGCCTCTGAAAAATGAGTGGATCAGGTATGTGGTCTAGAGTCAGCTCAGTCCTCTTTCTTGTGCTAAAGCTAAGACAATTTTTAGGGAAAAGAATACAACTTTCACTCTGTTAAGGGCTGAATTTTCTGACATCTCAAAGATCTCAGTTTGCAAAGGATTTATGAGATAGCATGAACCTATTTTTGTAGGGAGAGCAAGGGGAAACTGAGGCACAGCAAGCTTGCCTGTGTGCCCAGCAACTGAAAAAGGGCATAAAACATACTTGTGAAGTGCCATCCCAGTTCCTGCTGCCATGCACAGCCCTTCCTGGGGACAGGAGAATAGAGCAGAGGAAGTGAAGAGAAAGGAAAGGACAAAAGGAGCAGGGTTTGATGTAGAAAACCAAACCAGTTGCTTTCTTTCACAGCTCTTTGCCTTGTGCCTTTGAGATGCCTTTGCCTTTCTGGCTGGGTGAGTTTTGCTGCCCCATTCAGGGCATTTCTGCCCTGTTTCAGGCTTCCTCTTTGCAGCATGTTTGTGCCTTCTTCCAGAGAAGATGGGTGTTGCTATCTGCCTGGGTCAGACTGGTTGACTTGGCCAGGAGCTGGAAAGCTCCTGGAGCAAACTGTGCATCAAGGTCTTCTCAAAGGATGCAGACAGCTGTCTGCCTTCTCCCTTGCTATGTCCAGAAGCACTGAGACAAAATCCAGCAGAGCCTGGGTCAGCGCAGGAGATGGCTGAGAAGGGAAGAGTCCTGCTGGAGCTATTTTGTGGCTGCTATAACCACTTCCAGCTGCAGTCAGCCTCAGAATGTCCCCCTGCTTTTAAGGAGAAGGGGATTTATATGAATGTATGAGTTCTTCCTGCTGCTTTATGGGAACATGGAGACAATCCCTTAAAAAATGTTAGGGTTTTAAAACACTTCAATCCCATTTCACTCAGAGTGTGTTTCATTCAGAGCTCACCCTGGAAACAAACCTTGATCTGAGTGTTTTGCCTGGCCAGGCAGCTGAGGAAGGAGATTTCTTTCATGTCCATTCTCCTGCACAGGCCAAATCAGGAGCTACTGAGCACAAGGGCTGTTGAGCAGAGCTCTCTTCTGTGTCACAATTATGGAATTACCTTTCATAAATAACTCTTGAGTCGAATGTCAGAATGGGTGGGTTTGTGGGAGTAATTCTGTCATCATAATGATGCACCATTTAGCTGGAATGTTTTGTAATCCAAATCTTTATCCCTGGCTTACCTCCAGCAGTAATTAAATCCTGGTTGTTTGCAGCCCATCCTCTCCCCCTCTCTGTGGATGTGCATTTGATTTTTGTTGACCACTTGTTCTTTAAAAACAAAAGGCTCAGCAATTGTTAATGCTTTCACTGCTGTTCAGTGCTCATTTCCCAATTTCATCTTATTCCCAAGCGGTGATGGATTTTGACATGGTCAAATAAAACTCAAATTAATTGGATTACACACTTCACTTGGGTACCTTTCCTTCTGAACATGAAAACAGTCTCAGTTGTTTTGTTTCAGGGCTGTGTAGAAGGGAAGATGGATGGGTTTAGAAACAATCGTCAAAGAAATACCTGTTTGCATTTAGGTTTTAGGCATGAAATTTGGTTCTCGGAGGGATCTGGGTTAGATCTTGTGCTGTTCTGCTGCCAGGAAGGCATTGCAGAGATGTACTGTCAGCCTTGGCAGTTAGAGAGATTTCACATTTTTCCCTAGGAACTGCTTTCAAACAACTAGCTTGAAAGTCCTCTCTGTCATTGCCAATGCTCCAGAAGTTGAAAAGACTTTGAAATGTGTCTGCTAACATTTCTGGAGATTTCACCTTATGTCCTTTGGGCTGGGCTCTGCAGGGTAAGCAAACACCCTTCTGATCTCCCTGGTGTCTCTTGATATTTGCATCAATATAGCAATGAGACATTTGCAGTCTTTCTGCAAAGGCTTCCCCTGAATTTAATTGTGATGAGCTAAAGGGATGGGTGAAAGGAAACATGAGTCAGTTTGAGGTCATGGGCAGGAGGAGGTGGACATTATTCCTGCATAGTGGCTTCCAGCTATGGACAATGTGGACTGTTTAGAGGTTTTACCATCCCAATCACTGCTGGTTGTACAGCCAAAGTCAGAACAGTGGATTGCAAGTCTTAGGAGCACCAAGACATCGGGGGTTACCTTCCTCGCTTTGTGATCTTGCTGTCTTGGCCTGCCATGGAATTTTTGCCCCTAGGTTTCCACACCACAGCTCTCAAATAGTGTTGTGGGATGTTCAGGTGAAAGATACTGCCATACAGGTACCCCTCCAGATAAATGGGATGCTACAGTACAGGTCCACTGGGAATGACGTTGTTGAATATTGTTTTGGAATTGCAATTAATAATAAAGGCTAATTTTTTTATATATATAGTTGTAGATTTTACTGTTCAGTCACCAGGTGGAGTGTAAGCCTGGTGGTTCAAGGATGAGGGAAGATGGGGACAGCTACAGGCTGCTGATTTTTATTCCTGGATCTGCCCAAGCTGGCCTCTTGAAAACTTAGAATTATCCTAAATGGCAAGAGACTTTCCTGAGTATGTGGAGGTGGCAAAGCACACCTGCTCCCTGGGCTTCCCTGTGTCCTCAGATCTCACCGTATCTTCCACCACCACCTCACCCAGGGGGAGCTTGCTGGGCTGGTGGGATGTGCTGGACTGCCAGGTTGGCTCAGCAGCTCCCTGATGTGAGGGAGGAGGGAGCTCCAGATCCATGTTGGATTTCTCAGGTAGCCAGTGGCCAGATGTGTCTTGGAGATGGCAAATTTTGGGTCAATTATCGCTGCACAGTGCAGAGCTGTGGCATTCAAAGGTAGGACTCTACAGTTGTGCAGAACGTCAAATTTTTGACAGAAAGAACAACTTTTCTGGGCTTATCAGAGACGAGATGAGCAGCCCTGCAGGCCTGGGGGATGCAGCCTGTGCACCAAGAGCCCAGGCTTTGCATCCTGAAGCACCGTCTGCCCTTAACCAGCAACAGGCACCAAAGGATTTTGGAGAGAAGAGCTGCCTGCTGGGACTGGGCAGCTCCACACTAACTGCTCTGCTCTTTACCACAGATGGAGAACCCCAGCTGGCCTCCACTGTCATAGACACCATCATGGCTGGCCTGCCAGGACCACGGGGAGCACCGGGTCCTGTGGGACCACCAGGTAATAAGTTCAGTTGAGATGCAATGATGGGGAAGACGAGCAAAAGAAATTTCTGATGGAGAGTGGTCTGAGGGATGCCTGCAGGGA